TTCTTCTTCTTCTTCTTCTTCTTCTTCTTCTTCTTCTTCTTCTTCTTCTTCTTCTTCCTTCTTCTTCTTCTTCTTCTTCCTTCTTCTTCTTCTTCTTCTTCCTTCTTCTTCCTTCTTCTTCTTCCTTCTTCTTCCTTCTTCTTCCTTCTTCTTCTTCTTCTTCTTCCTTCTTCTTCCTTCTTCTTCTTCCTTCTTCTTTCTTCTTCTTTCTTCTTCTTTCTTCTTCCTCCTCCTCCTCCTCCTCCTCCACCACCACCACCACGACGGATATCCTTTTATAAGGTGAGGTTAAATACAGAAGGAATATTTAGTCTGACACATCTTTAGGGCAGTGGAAAAGAGCTACACTCTTGTAGAGATAAGTTCAATAAGGATAGATCATTAGAAGCAATTGAACATCATTTACATGTTCAATTATATGTCTAGAGAATCAATAAATTTGGCAGTTAAACTGTGACTTTTGACATAAAAGTTATGTAGATGGTTGCTGAGTGCTTATATTTGTTTGGTGTGCACCTTTACAATCTGGTAACATTCATGCATACTAGGAGTATATATAAAACTAAAACATGCCTTATGAGCATAGTTTGAATTATCATGACATTTTTTGACCTTCATCTCCTCAAGAGTTTAAGACTATGTTTAACTAAGGACATTATGGAGTATGTGAAGGATGGTTAGAAGTGCGAAAACATTGCTGTAACACTAAAAAAAGTATCTCACAATTTTTCAGACTAGAGCTTACCTGTGAAATCAGGATTTTTAGAGTTTTGTATTATAGTTTAATCCTTCCTTGATGAACAATTACAGATTTATTTTTTTTTTGTTCAAAGCATTATACATCATTAAATTATCTGTCTGTAACCTCTCACACTTAGTGAGTCTTGTTCTTTGTATGTCGGACTGTTTTTTGTGGTCTGTGGTTCACAGATGTTAACAGCTTCCAGCAAATATGCAAGCTGCAACCATTTCACCAATGAGCTGTTAATTATAAAAAGAGGAAGGAACGTACATTTATTATTATTATTGTTATTATTATTATTATTAATATAGAATATGAAGTTTTGACATGAGTCAACATGAGTATGATGTGCTACATGGAGAACATCCACAAAAACACAAAGTTAAAAAATACATAAATAAATAAAAATGAAAAGCAAAAAAAGTTTGTTTGTAAATTAATAGTTTTTCATATTATTCACATAAAACCAGAAAACATTAGATTATAAATATATTATAAATACTGGGCTAAAATACACAACACTGTGTAGAAAAAGAATGGAAATATAAAAGGAACATCAAATGTCATGTTTTCAGTGAATCAAAATTTTGCCTAATAAATTATTAAAATATTAGATCAATAAATGAAAGGTTCACTGATCCATAGTATATATATATACCCATAGTACTCACTCAGAAGTCTTGTGCTACCTCTCATTTTGCTATATTTTGATAGGAAAATGGTCCTAGGTGCAGTAACTTATGTATAATCATAAGTACAGTTTATAGGGAAAAAACGAGTTTGTACAATTCTAGTGATCTTGAAAGTCCATTTTTAGTGTGACCAACTGTATTCTTCATCACAGCGTGGAATCTCTCAGTCAAACTTTCTTGTAATTTTTTTTTTTTGTGTCCCGTTTGGATCTTTGGCCATCAGAATTGTTGTCTTAAGGCCAAGAAAGACGCCAAGCGGATTTATTTTACCAAGTGGATCATCATGGCCTTGCCATATTGGTCCATTTGATTGACCTTTATT